AATTATCTCTATAATTCTATGCGAACAAAAATTTAATGGCCGGTTATGTTATGATAATGTGACCGTGTTGATTGACCCGTGTGGTGCTGGGCTGTACAAAATCGAGGGCAAAAAGTGGTGTCTTAATTTAATGGCCGGTTTTCACATAGAAAAAAAAAAATTTTAAAGGCCGGTTTATGTTATGATTATGTGACGGGTTGATTGATCCGTGTGGTGGCTTTTTTATGGACAGGACAAAATCGGGGGCAGAAAGTAGTGTGGTTTCATTTTTACCTTTTATTTTTTATTTAGTTATTAATAAAATTAGAAAAAACAATTTATTTATTTTTTAAAATTTATTTATTTAAATAAGAGAAAAGGAGCGGAGAGAAAAAAAAAACAAAAAGGTACAATTTTTCTCGTCTCTAATTTTTTTAAACTTAAATACATAAATAAAATGTTATGTTATAAAAAATAGTTTAAAATTATCGAATTAATAGAAAGAGATTAACTGCTATTGAAAGGGAAATACCAAATATAACCTATGATTATATTATTTATTGAATTTTAACTAATTTATTTCATTTAAAATATAGAAAAAACATAACGAAATACCTATTTCAAAACTAAATGCAGAAGTTCATTTCAATAATTACTACCATTTGCCTTTATAATACATTCTTATAGTAACTTGTACCCTATAAAAATTAATAAATTTTTTTTTAATATGTGACTTTAAGATCTAAGTTTAAAATATAATTAAAATATTTTTTATATTAATTAAAATTTTTAAAAAATAATTTACATGACATAGGAAAATTAATATAAATTTTTATATCTTTAATATTAATTAATATAAAAAAATATATCAATTCCGCTGAGATAGAAAAAGCCAAAGAAGAAAAAGAAAGGTGAAAAGGCGAATGGAAAGGGTCAATACTAATAGGCAATTACCCGTATTCTTCCTACTCGTAAAATCAGAAAATGACTTGGATAGAAAAAGACATATGCCGACTTTGTTTTGGGACGTTGTGTACGACGACCGAAGAAAGGAAATGTGAAACACTAATATTTTTCCGCGCGCCGGAAATAGGTAAGAAAGACTTGTGTTTCAGTTCCTTCCCAAGCTTCCTTGTATTTTCCCCTATACTATCATGGATGCTTCCCTTTTCAAACAGCATCATGAATTTAGAATTACAATTTCCAATTTGAAGAAAATATAATGTTAATTATTTAATAAAGAATATTGAGGCTGAATCAATCTTTATTAGGTTATAATCAGGGTATTTATACAAGATGTATAGAAGTATATTTACACTTCTAACCCTATA